TGTCCAATTTGATCATAGCGATTACCCAACTCATCAAAACTGTCTGTCCATCTTTCTTGTACTGTCTATCCATCCCCATAATTTTCCACAAGTAAACAAAAACATGCCATTTTTCTTATTTTCTTTGTTCATGAAAATCCTACTCCACATTGGACAAGCATTTTCCAAAAGGAAAAAAATGATAGACAAGCAGTACAAATTATTTGGACAAATGGTAAAAAATAAGTGGATAACCAATACAAGACACGATTGGCTAATCAGTACAAACGAACTGGACAAATATTTTCATAAAAAGGAGGAGATGAAAAGATAATTGAATAAACAATACCAATGAGTTGGATAACCAGTGCGAACATGTTGTACAAGCATTTTCTCCAGAGAAGAAAAAAAGGAAAACAAAAGATTGGACAAGTAATGCAAAGTTATTTGGACAAGCAGTAAAAAAAATTAGATAACTAATACAAAGCCATTGGATAATCACTACGAACAAATTGGATAACCTTGTTTCAAAGAAAAAAAAATGATTGGATAAGTAGCATAAACAAAATGGATAACCAATATTAGCATATTGGACAATGATCTTTTTCAAATAGAAAAAAATATAATTGGATAATCAGTACAAACAATTTGGAAAGGCATATAAATCCGTTGGATAACCACTACACATAAGTTGGATAGGCATACAAACTAAATAGATATCTAGTACAAAGAAGTTCGATATATAGTGCACACAAGTTGGATTTGCATACAAATCTGTTGGATTACAACTACAAAACAAGTTGGATAGGAATACAAACAAAATGGATATATAATCAGTTTGATATATAATCATTTTAAAACTGTACGACTCGAACTTTAATAAAAATCTTTACGCCATCCATATTATTTATTTTAACATTAGGTAAAATACTAATATAACATCTTGTTGAAAAAGTGATGTGCTCCAACTTCCCGGGCAGCTTCCTTTGGATTAGGAAATGTTGTGCTCCAGCCACCAGAATTTTCGTTTAAACACGGCATGCTTTGACGACAACCATCCATAGGTTGAGATGTTCCTCCGCCCGAAAAATCCCGGGCAACTTCCCTTGCATTAGGAAATGAGAAACCACCAAAAAAAATTTTCATTTGACAACGGCATGGTTTGACGGCAACCATCCACAACGCCAGACGCTCCTCCGCCCAAAAATATTTCCCGATTAGAATCCCCAGTAACCTGACCAAAGTAAGAATTTGATTCCATCATACTTTGGTAATGCAGGTCTGATGCAACTGAAGCTCTTGTTCGGTCAACAACAATTCTTGCATTGTTTTTCTTGCCTCTAACTTTGTTACGAGATTTCTCAATAATGCTTTTAGGACGTTCGTTCTTGGGACCAATCTTATTCCTCTTTAAGCCTGGATTCTTTATTTCTTCATCATTGTCTAAAGACTCCTCATCATTATTATTCGGACCAATGAAACTCCTGAGTTCTTCTTTGAGCCTGTCAACCTCCTCATTACAACATTTCTTTGCATCTTTGTTATATTCACCCGCATACACCAAGTCTAAGAAACGTCTCATAATTAGCATCTTCCACATCAATGGCCCAACATCAGCTTTTCCATTCCCCTCATTACCTACGCTTGACCTTGCACCAGAACCCTTTGTCCATCTCATACATATATAGTCTTTAGGATACTCACCAACAGAGGTCACATGACAGATTCGAAGAATGTGGTAACAAAGCATGCCCCCTTCAGAATAGTACCTAGAGATACATGAGAATCTCTAAAACCTAGTGTCATGTACAATCACATGCTTAAAGTGCTCAATCCCCCATAGCCAAACATTGTACGTCATAGTATTGCCATCATTTGGGACCGCTAACTGCTCCTGCCTGCACAACATCCCATGTTTGTGCAGCTGCTGAACCTCCTTAAATGCTTCGACTGTGTACAATCTCCTAATGCTCTCCAGAAAAGGGTCACCAGGAAGATATGATTCGATGTTTCCCTGACTACAGCGTAGATCTTCACCCCTCATAGCCACCCGCCAATAATATACAACATTAGAGAAATTCCCTAAAATCACAAAGCGAAGATGTGGCTTTCATTTTATGAGATATGGCATGGTTTGTCGACTCACTCCTCTGTGAAGACAAGGTATTACAAGAAAAAACATCTTTGCTAAATGCACGACACAACATATGCCTCAAATGATAAATAATATTGAGCAATTTGTCATCATGACAATCATAATCATCCAATAATCTGTGGACAACAATATAAAACACACGCATAAAAAAAAATAGTTAGATTACCCATATATATCCATAAAGAAACTTGTATATCCTTAGGTTTTCTATTGCTTATCCACTCATCATTTACTGATTATCCAAGAGTTTGGACTAACTATCCATCAGTAACCCCTTTAAACCCCAGCAATACTATCCTAGACTTTCTACTACTTGCCGATAAGTAACCATCATAAAAAACATGCATGACCACTAGCACATACCCAGACAACAAAAAATAAGAGACACTCTTAATGATCGTAATGATGAAAATAATAATACTAATCTTCACCAGCTGATCTCTTCCATAACACCACGAACTCCATTTCTATTGCAGTATATTTCATCAGATAATTAAAATTCTTACAAAATCCGGCTTGTTCCTTAAGTGACCAATTCCTTTTCTTGAATTTTCACTGATGTTCCATACACACAGACGATGCCGAGAAGTTGGAAAACATGTCCGAATACTTGCAGCAATGGAAGGTGCTTGATCCGTCATAATAGTTTGTGGCTGGTTACCTCCCATTGATTTCAAAAACTGGTTGAACAACCAATCAAAGGAAGGTTCTTTCTCATTTATCACAATACCACAGCCAAACATGACATTCTTGTAGTGATTATCCATACCAACGAAAGGAGCTCAAATCATTCCATATTTGTTCATTCGCTACATCGTATCAAACACAAGAAGGTCACCAGGAAAGTCGTAATCCTTCCGCGTTATGCCATCCCTCTAGAAGAAAGTACAGAGCCTACACTGCTCATTATAGTCAAAATCAAAGAGGAAATCTTCTTCAGTCTCCTTCCTGTGCAGAAAAATCTGCATTAGCTGATTACAGTCGCTATCTTCGAATGCAACGTCATCACGGGAATAATTTTATGCGTCTCTCAACGTATACATCATGTTCGGATTTCCCCCGTGTAATTTTGCCACAAACTTAAATGCATCAACAAAAGGGATGCCGCTCCTTCTCATGTCTCTGATTATCTTCATGTCATAAGAATCTACCTTACGTTGAGATCGAAGAACACCAATCTGATCGCCCGACACAAGATTATGATTGTGATCAACCACATGCTTTGTAAATGTCCAAAACCCATCTCTGTCGACACTAAAGTGGATATGCGCTAGACACCCACACCGAAAATCAATCCTCGTATGGGACCAACCACCCTTTCCACTGGATCTCTTAAATCCTTGTTGGTTACAACATAAGATCTTCTCCTTACTTCATCAGTCTTACCTCTAAACTTCTGTTCTCCTATTCTCACACTAAAACCAATCAATCGTGCATGATCATTATACAAGCAATAAGCTTCTTTCTCACTTCTCGCAATCTCGCCAACTAAAGTATAAACAGCCAAATCATTACTCTTCGTGACAGATGAAACTTCCTTGCGCAAGGCATCCTCCTCACCATCACGTTGTTATCTTCTCCACAACATGGAAAAAAAAGGTTGGATACCCGGTACAAACAACTTGGAGAGGCATATACCCAGTACATACAAGTTGGATAACCACTACAAACGACTTGGACAATTCTTTTCATAAAAAAAAGCAACGGAGAAAAAGTTGGATAACCATCACCAAGAAGTCAGATAATCACTACGAACACATTGGACAAACATTTTTTAACAAAAAAAATGGTTGGATAACCAGTACCAAGCAGTTGGATAAGCAATACATGTCGATTTGATAATCCGTACAAACGAACTGGACAATTACTTTCATAAAAAGGATGAGAGAAAAAAATGGTTGGATAATCAGTATCAAGCAGTTGGATAATCACCATGAACACAATTGACAACTATTTTTCAAAACAAGAAAATATTGGATAACTAGTATAAACAAATGGATAATCAGTTCAAACGAATTGGATAATCAGTACTAACAAAATGGATAATTGGTACGAACATATTGGACAATGATTTTCTAAAAAAAATGATTGGATAACAGTACAAAAAAAAGGATAATCAATTCAGGCCGGTTGGATAATCAGTATGAACACGATGGATAAACGTTTCAGAAAAAAGTATATTACTTCATTTTTGCCCATAAAATTAAAATGCATTTAAAGTTTGAAAAAAAATTATTCGATATGGAATTTTGTTGGATAGATCTCGACGAGTACAAAACAAGTTGGAAAACCTACCCTTCCGAGCAGATGTAACTTCCATGCGCAAAGCATTGTCCACCATCACATCATCGCCTACCAACTCATTGCTCCGATTATCTTTTCCAGAAACTGAGAAAAACAAAAAACAAAAAAATGTTAGATACACCAAGCCAATATAAACAACTCAAAATGTTAGAAATCCAGTACAAACAAGTTGGATTACAGTACAGATAATTTGGATATGCATATAAATCCGTTGGATAACCAGTACACACAAGTTAGACAGGCATACAAACAAAATAGATATCCAGTACAAACAAGTTGGATATGCATACGAACTTGTTGGATAACCACTACCAAGGAGTTGGATAGGCATACAAACATAATAGATATCCAGTACAAACAAGTTGGATAACAATTACAAACAATTTGGATACGCATACAAATTGCTTGGATAACCAACACAAAACGAGTTGGAAAACCAGTAAAACAAACAACTACACGAACCTGGTTGCAGTGGATCAACAACAGAGTTGTGACCTTGCTTTGATTTGCTGCAACTACACGATCGTTCGATGGATTTACTACCACTACATTCTGCATTTATCTAGTCGGAATCCCCGACGAGATAACTCATCGATCCATTGCAACTGAGCATCTCATCGATCCAATCATCATTTTGCCACTCTAGTGGAATCGGAGCTTTTCCTCGATCGCTGCCAGACATTGCCGCCTCAACGCCTCGATCGCCCCCGGCCATCGCCACCTCAACGCCTAGATCGCCGCCTTTAGTTGCCGCCTCAACGGCTCGATCGCCGTCGGCCATCGCCAAACAATAGTAGTCCATCTGAAAGCTTTTGAAATTTGAATGAAGAACGGAATGGATTTGGCAATTTATATAAGGCACGTTTTTTTAAAAAATAGAAAAGTGAATCGTCACGCGATTCTCAGCGAGTTAAGCACACGCACAGGGGTACACGGTGCCCCGGGTATACTAGATAAATTGCCGACAAATAATCTTATGAAGCTTTTGGCTGATTGTGTTTGCTTCACGTGGGAAATTTAATGAAAAGCTGCCATTAGGACCAAACGAATTTTTGCCAATGTTGGGGTAGTAATGGGTTGTTTGGGGTAGTAATTTGGCCTCGCAACTATAATTTGTGGCAATTAGTACCAAAGGTATACAACCTAAGTTATAATTAATGGCAATGGGATGAAATAATGGAAAACCTTCATTATATTAGTCCAAGAACAACTATAAGAGGAGTTAGGAAGATAGCCCTAAATGCACTAAAAATAGTTATGTGAGGAACAGATTTATCATAGTTTAGGGAAGACTGAAAAGGTGGATTAACAATCTGATTGACCAGAAGTTATGGTGATCTAATCAGCTACAACTTAATTAGCATACTATCACTTCCGCAAACTGAAATGTTTTCGACCACCAAAACTGATGGAAGTATAATCCTTGGATCCCAAACGTGTCCATTTCATTCACGAAAGAATCGGGCCTTTTTGGAGTTATTCAAAAACAAATTTTAGTCCCGTGAGATTATGAAAATTCTTGCATACATCTTATGGGAGAAAATATGAGCTATACAGTCTATGAAGCAAAGCAAGATCCACCACTGAAGTATTTGAGAGTGAACATCTCTAGGACTAAATGGAAATTTATAGGAGAGTAACCCTAGATGCCATGCTTGTGTGCCAACATCAAGTGAATGTCTCCGAAGAGAAGGGTGAAAGCACTTATGAGTGACACTTTAGTAGGTTATTATGAAATTTCGTATTGAGTTCCTAAAAGTGCCATTTCAAATCAATATTTCTCTTTTGTCATAATCAATTGAGTTGTTTTAGGTGTACGCTTTTTTAATTTCTGCACATGTCTTTTTTTTTTTCCATAGCTGCACTCAATATTATATTAAGAGTTCCTAATGTGAGGCCTTTAGAATGAGTACTGAAAGATTTCCTTATCATTATTTTCCTGTAATTCAAAAGATATTAGTCCCGAAATGAATACAGTATTTAGTTTGGGATAAAGTATAAGTTCGATAATTATCTTATAACAAAGGTAGTTTTAATTTCATTTCAATTTTATAGAGATTTTTTTGGGGGGGGAGGGGATGCAATTGTAACTTAATTTAAGTTTATTTGTGAATTGTTTAAATACCTTTTTCCTCTATCACTTAATTCTGTGGAACATTTGGCTTATTTGGTTAGCGTTTGAACCTCAATGAACAATTAAGATTAATTTAATCAAAATAAAAAAAAATTATAACTAAGATAGCATTAGTAAAATTTAAAGGTCAGTCCGATTTTCAATCAAAAGGCATAGATGTAGTAGTAGTTAATTTCTTCACCAAGACCATAAAACTTTCGTAAACAAATTACTCGAGAAGTCTAGATATTTTATCCATGGTTTTCGAATTGCCATCAAATTCAGTCTAGATTATTTTCCACAACATAACCTTTTTTTTATCTACGTGAAGTAAATACACGTGAAGCCACGATAATAAAGAAAAGTTAAAAAAATCGCGAAGACAGCGTAACTGAACATAAAATAAATTTCTTTTAAACCATAACTATTTTTTTTAAGTAATCAAGGCGTGGCAAATATTCCTCGATTTTATTAATTTAAAAAATAAAATTACAAAGGGCAGTGCTTGAAACTTACCCAATGAAAAGAAATCGTCATACAAAGATTTTCTAAAAATCTCATAACAGTGCACAACTATTTTATTTCATTTTTTTCCCAAGAATGATAGGATACAAATTTGGCGCCACCCAAGAACTACAACCCTAATTTTGTACTTGAGCAAAGTACAAAAGACAAAAAGCCATTCTTTATTGGCGGAAGGGAATTTAAATTCCGACAAATCAAATTAAGCTCCCTCTCCCGTATGATCTTGTGCAATATCCAATGCAGTCAAAGTGTGAGGATAGACTTTAATTTCCATGTCCCCTCCATTGTTCCATGGATACTCGAATGGCTTTACCTGCAATATTATTTAAACAAATAAGGAAAGTTGAAAATCAAATCATTAAAAAAAATTATTAAAAAATTGATATCATGGAGTGGATTATTATCGCACCTTATTAGGGCTGGCAAACGAATTTTCATCAAGTGGATCATCCGAGCCCATCACTGTGACATGTGAACTTGGTAAGCGAAGTGACGATGGGCCAACTTTATTAATAATGATTTTGAGCTTTATAGTGCATCTCCCAAAATTCACCACCTGCAAAGATTGAATATATAAACAAATTTTAGATTTTTTGAAAATAACAATGAATAAAAAAAATTAAGCAAATGCCAAATTAAGTAAATAATCTACCTTAATTCTCAAAAAAAGCTCATTGTTCTTGCTGGGATCACGCCATAAAATAGCAGTGGCAAGTAATTGTTGTGAGGGCGCGGAGCTTAAAGTTGATTTGAGATAAGTAGCGTTGTTTGATGCTTTGAAAAAGGTTTGCATCCAATAACTTGGAGTTCCATAAACCTGAGATGCGTCGAAAACAATTGCATCTGGGTTCCACCTGAAAGAATTAGATCGATATTAAAAAAAATTGTTAGTATTAATTAAACTGAAAAAAGAAAGGAAAATTGTACTAGTATTCTTAAAAACTTACGCCCTATCATGGTCATTGACGAGCAAAGGAGCATAGCTCGCGAATTCAACAATATCACTGCATTGTAAAAATTGAAAAGATTAATAAAGGTAACACTGCAGTTTTTTTAAAAACAAAAACAAAAACAAAAAAAAAAGAAGCAAAAAATGACGAATATATACAGACCAATTTTTTTCCAAACCCATGAGGAACGCAGATTCCGCAAGGGCAGCCTTAACATTGCCTTTGCCTGGGGCATTTCCCCACACAGCATACTCACTCACAAATGCCTGCGACACGGTTAATTACAATTAATTTAGTGAATTTGTGACAGTAAAATTGCGCTATTGTAACCTAAATATTGTAAAATGCATATAAATGTTATCAATATCGGGAATTTAGAGGGTGAACCTTGGCGCCTTTGCGAGGTGATTTGTCGAAGTGAGTATGCTCGTTGAACATTTCGTCTGCATCTTGTGGATATGTCTAAAGAAAGAAGAACGGGGAAAAAATTAGTTATTGTGGATATTGTAAAATGTATTTGTGAAAAAAAAAAAAAGGATAAGAAATAAGTTTAGAACTCACATGATAATCATAGATATCAGCAGGCAAGGTTAATTGTTGAGAGGAACCATCACAGTTTGTGATTATCTGGATATCGGGGTAGGCTTCCCGAATTGCCGAAAAGAACAGCCGATAATTTGCTAAAATAAGGATGGAAACAACATTAGGAATTAGACGTCAAATTAGTTCAATTTCAAATTTCATTTTTTAAAAAAAAAAAAAAAACACTATTTCATCAAAAAAAAAAAAAAAAGAAAAAAAAAGCATACCATCATATTGGGGCTTTCCACAATCTTCGTTACCGGGAGCAACATATCTTAGATCAAATGGTTCCGGGTGACCCATTGCAGCTCTAACGGAGCCCCAAGTAGTGTGTTTATCACCCAAAGCAAATTCGAGACCGTCCAAAGCGTCCTATAGTATAACACATGTAATAAATACATGGTAACTAAAACTAAATTTGATTGAAAAATGGACTATTATCTCGGGGAAGGAAGTATACGAAAACTTACTTGAATATATGGATAAAGGAACTTAGGTTCAACTTCCAAACCACTGATACTAACACCTATACTGAAAACCCAGATGGGCAATGCACCAAGATCCTCTGCAAGCTGTTCACAAGAAACCACAATTTTTATTTTTTTAAAAAAAAATCATTTTTTGAAAGATGCTCAAAATATATTTCTATTTAGAGCCCCCCCAAAAAAAAGAACATTACTTGGAAATATTCAAAATGACCCATTCCATCATCAGTCCAGTAACCCCAAGCATCATTGTAATGGCCAGGTCTGTTTTCCCATGGTCCAAGGGTATGTTTCCAATCAAGACAGTTATTTAATTGATCCCCTTCAACGTAATTTCCACCTACGAAAATAAAAGAAAATAATAAGTGAATAAAAGAAATTCATTGATCTCCTATATAGTTTTTTTTTTAATGGGTAAATGTGACATGACAACTAAATTAATTAAGATTGTAACTACCTGGAAATCTAATAAACCCAGGGCTCAAATCTTGAATCATGTTGAATATATCATTCCTGAATCCATGTCCCTGGGAAAAAGGAAAAACAAAAATATCAGAAGACTATAAATAATGAATCATGATTTGCACATTAAAGGAAATTATTAATTTAAATTAGGACCCTTAAAATCTCACCAAATGTGTGTCCGCGGGCATAACCGATACTTGATCAAGCCAGAAAACACCTTTTTTCTTGGATGTGATGGTCAACCTCGCATAGTGATCTGTTTCGTGTGCCTTCAAGGTGAATTCTACCTTTTGCCATACCTTAGCATTTTCAATCCTATTGTTGGAAAAAAAGAAAAAAAAAACTAATCAATTTAGAATATATCTGGTTTTAAATATCATTAATCCATACAATGTGAAAGTTTGCAAATTTATTTAAGTGATGATTACTGGACACGGTGAGAAGCAAGTTGGTGGAAGCCTTCTTTCTCTGCCAATGCTACAAGCATATCCACTTGCTCTTCGCCTCGAACATATAGTGTCACCTTGTAATGCTTTCCTTTCACAATATTCTACAAGGAGGGGGAAAAAAAACAAATTAGATTAATATAGTGAATCAAAAACAAAGCCAACTCAACCGAACTACTGCGACAAAATTAGCTTATTAAGGAGGAAAAATATATATACCATGCCCCAGTATCCTGGATTGAAAACGCCAACTCCAGTATCAGGACATCTCTCACAGAGGACCTCAACTTTCAATGCAATTTTATTTCGGGGAAACAAAGACGAATGATCCGTAGAAATTTTCACGTCCGATTGGCCCCCAACAGTTCCCCAAGGATCAATTGTTGCATTATTTCCTTTGGAATCTTTGGCTTCGAACCCTCGGTTGCTAACAAGCTCCGCCCATAATCCACCCGTACCAGCATGGTTAATCTCCTGCGCGCATACATCATAAAGGACAACAATCATCAACACAAAAAAAAAGGTGAAAATAAAAAAGATGAAACCTGAAAAAAACATGTGTAACTTGCTAACCTCGAAAAAAATGCCAAAGAGATTCGGGGGCATTTTTGTTCGGGAATTCCAATCAACAGTGAGAGTAGCAGTGGTGTTAGCTCCGGAACTCCGGAGACTAGCCGTCGGGGGCATAGCATGATGATGCACCGGGGCCTGACGATGAACAGACGTCGGCGCCGGATGGTGATGCCTTGGGGTGGGGTGATGATGCTTGTAGGGAGCATGGTGATGATGATTGTAGTGAGAATGGGAATGATGATTTCGGGTATAGGGATGATCCCTAGAGGCAAAACATTGATCAAAAGTAAACGAAGAACAAAATAGAACCAGGAACAATATACTTAATTGTGTTGTATCCATTTTTCTTTCCCAAAAATGGAGTACAGGAGGAGAAAAAATGATTTGTGAATGAGTGATGGATTCTTTGAAGCTAGCGTACCGCATATTTATAGACTAGTTTTGCTCCAACAACTCGATGATGATCTTTATTTTGATGGTTACAAATTTTGAAATTTAGTTTTTAGATGATTATCTTTATGATGAGTATTGCCTACATATTAAGATAAATTAAAAATAAACTAAGTTGTTTTTGTTTTGTAGATGTCTCCTATCTAAAAGATTTGAAATAAACCTGTTTAAAGCATTTTTTTTTTAAATAGGCGGGATTAAGAAAAGCTGAAAACTTTTGCATTAAAATTTCGGATAATAAGAAAAAGTTGCTGAAGATTTGAAAAAATGTTTAACTATACACTGTAAATCTAAAAGGTACAAATGAAAATCAAACTTGATTATTTGAACAAAACACAAAAAAAAAAAACAAACAAAACAAAAGCAACAACAACAACAACAACAACAACAAAACAATTAACAAAAAAAAACGCAATTAAGGAGTCCAAACAACACCAAACAAAATTACAATGCATATATATATAAAAGATCTACACTAGAATCCAGTTAATAAATACAAGGATCATGATCTACAGAATACGTCCTAATGTTCAAAATCTTATATGATTCTAGGAATTATAACCAAATCACGATAATAGTAATTAAGTCGAAGTTCTCAAAATCTAATGAATAAAAGTATTATTTAGGTTGTTTGGGATTTTTTTTTTTTCACCACAAACTGTCTTATGTGCTGCTAACAATTATCTGGGAGCAACTTTAATAAAATCCGAATTTAAATAATAGGATAACAAAACGTGTATGTTACTCAGAATTTTCTACGATGATCTTATCTTACTACTACCCTACTACTTAAATGTTGTATTATTAACTTAATCTAGTTTTTACTTTATACATTTCGAGTAAGTTACTTGTTTATTTATTTTTTACTTCAAGCTAAAATTTTCTCCACACTTCTTTTACTCCAGCTGAAATTCTTCCTTTTCTTTCCTAGTTTGCCGAGAGAGTTTCGATGTGCCGCGAGATAATTATCTAACCTCCTACCAAAACTGTCACCGTTGCTTTAAATTTTTATAAAGGTACATTTAAATCATTTTCAAATACTTTGTCAATCTTCGTGGATTTTTTTCCCAGTCGAATTTCGAAAGTATCATGTAAATCATGCTGCCGAGTTCTTCGCTTTCTCTTAATCCTTCCTTTTGCTCCATATAAAATTCATAATTGAAATTGATATGTCCCACCAAATAATGTTTGTTCAATTTCCTGAGATCGAGGACAAAAGATTTCTTACACCATAATTTTTCGGCTTTTCTTACATTAGTCAACCTGATTTTAACTCATGACCATTTAGAGTTTATGGTTGGTTAATGTAAATTTATACTTTATAATTAGAATCCCTTGTAACAAGTTCTGATCAGAGGACAAACTTGGAAACCGCTCCAATGATGCATTTTCCAAATAAATAAATAAAAATTTGTTTCTATTAGTGTCGAGAAAGTCACCCTAAACCGTGAGAAAGAAGGGAGTAAAATTTCCTAAAACATACAAAATCAAACGATTGTGGATGAGTTTAATACCTGTCTCGGACCTAGAATCGAGGGCGTATGGTTCACTTTGAGTTGAAAGAAAAGAGAAAAGATAGAGAATATGAGGGGGGGAACGAGGCTAACAAACAGTTTTTTAATAGTGGGAAAAAAAACTATAGCGCCGACAGGGAATATCTAGTTGATGAACACTTTTACAAAGACACATATATTAGCACCGATTAGACGTAATCGATGACACGCTATGACACGGACCAGAGATATTCTAGCTCCGATAGGGAATGTTTATTGATGGAACGCTATTACAAAGAAAACGAAAACCGGACGGACGTACAACGGGTAGTCCGATATAGGTACTAGAGACACCTATTATATGAGATTGAATTCAGTGAAGTAGAATTCATGTACTACCTATTTCTATAAAAGAAAATAGGCAAACACCTATCTATGCTAGGCTACATCTAGGACAAATGATAAAAGACACGTAGTAAAATACTGAAAAGAAAGAAAATGATAAAGACTTAATTGATACGATGATTTGAGGTGTATCCTTCTTCGTCTATAGCCTTCCATATTCATAAGGAAATTGCAGCTTGGTGGGAAAGCAAAGGGAAGGAGACTCCATTCACGGTTCTTTGAAAGCAATAGCAATCCTTTATTCCTTGCACTTGTTACCACACCAATAATTAAAATGTAATTGTAATTGGACTCTTCCTTAGTGGCCAAACCAATCAAAAAGCTGCCTAATATTTAGGTATATAAGTAAATCACCAAATTGCATGTAATCCGTAATTAACTCCCTTAAAGCCAATCTAATCAACTAATCATTTCACATGGGAATCAGGATTAAATCATGCAAGAATGATGGTCTAAGTGAATCTCCTTCGTAAGACCAATCTCAAGAATATTTAATTAAACTCCAACTTGAATACCAATATTATTGAAGATCCGCCTCTTAGGTCCGCGGCCAAATGGGTCTGTCAAAAAGACCAAAATTTACTTTTGGAGTTTCTCCAGTCAACAATTTGAGCAGGATATCCAAAGCCTAATTGGCTCGCAGGTAGCTGCCGAACATGAAAATTCAGACACGGCAGGCTTACCGACTATGAGCGGAATATTGTCACCCCCATGGTGAATGAGGTGTTAGTTAAGTGGTAAAACCACCATTGCTTTCAAGAGTAGGGACGAAACTAATGAGACTGACCCCTCATTAACTGGAGAATCCCACCGCTGTGCTGTAATTTTTTCTTGGCCGACCCCTGGCGGCGAGCTAAAGGGAGCAACAAAGAAGAAGGAGCAAGGTCATTTGTTTAGACTTTTTTCTTAAGTAGTGATACAGGAAAAAAATGAAAAGAAAAATTTACAAAGGAATAATGTGTCAAATATCCAAACGAGACCTTAATCTTAAATGCTTAGACCCAAGTTTTTAAAATGGATGGGTGAGATCATTTTCTTATTATTTATCCTTGTAATTTTTCCTTGTACCTATCATTATATTGTTTTTTATATGGCCTGTTTCTTTTCTTAAAAGAGGCACAATTTGTTATGGGTATTTGTGATGGATAAATTGAAATTTTAAGAGGTCTCAGACTTATAATTTTTTGGGTTTAATTAAAAAGATGAAAGAAGATTCGGCAGATTCATGATTTGGGCATGGATGATCCATGTTGCGATGGTCTTGAAAGTGTTTAATTCACCTATTTTTGATGTAATAGTATTTTGGCTAATTTTTGTAGTTTATTTTATTTTTTTTGGTTGAATCTAGGTAGATTTTAAGAAACAGAGTGTTATATATGCCTTTCGCCTCAATTTAGAATATATAATTTTTTCTTTAAAAAAATGACAACACATGGACTAAGCTTTACTTTTCTAACTATGTCTTCTTTTATTTTCTTACACAAGTACATTCTCTTTTAGTCTTTTTTTGAGCAATATAATCTATTTTATGAATATGAAAATTTCAAAATATTTGTTTAATTTTTGGTTGTTTAAACTTTAAAGTATATATTGAAAACATGGGGTGCAAGTTTGAGTAAGCTTATGCATGCGGTACGCATTGTTAACCACATATAAAGTTAACCCTCCAGCATGAAACTTGGTTTCTTCATTTCTTCAAAGGAGGTTATGTGTTCAATTCATCACTCCAAATAAAGTGAGAGAAGACTGTAACCTTATTTATTGACATCTCTAGAGGGTTTATTATGAAAAATCCATTCATGAACTCACGATTTTATACCCAACCTTGTCACTTCATTCTTGCCTAGGATGGTTTACCTCCAACTGTAATTTTACAAATATTACAATGGGTATGGGTTTACCCAATCTCTGGTGGGGTTCCCGCATATATTACCAATATATATATACATATATATATATGAGAGCGACTGTGGTCCAGTTGACTGAACCATTCAGTTAATAATATTAACTGTTGGATGATAAAAGAGTATTATAACGGTAGGATTATATAAGGTACACCATAAAATTTTATAAGGTCTTGTACATAGTATAATTCTATTATAATTAATCAACCTATATAACCAGTTGTCACCCAAAATTTTGCTTTTTCCCCTCATATTGAATCAAAGTAGGATTCTTAACATATTACATCAAAGCATCGCAACTCTTGTTTTATTTGTCTATAAACTCCGTTTGCAGATTGCAAAAATTACCAAGAAGATTTGAAACGTGGGCAAGTGAACTTTTTTTTTGGGTACCAAGAATAAATGGATTTTGCCCTTCATGAAGCTTTCAATCTTCTAATCCAAATTGTTTTAGTTTGTTTGATATTAAGGATTCTTACGGTATTAGGATCCTTTGGGGACATCCAATAAAATTGGAACGATACAGAGAAGATTAGCATGGCCCCTGCGCAAGGATGACACGCACAAATCGAGAAATGGTCTAAATTTTTAACCGACATTGGCGCGCATTCAGAAAATTAGGGTTTCCTGTGGAGGAAAATGGACTTGGTTTCCGGAATCTAGATGATATCATCAATGCATTTTCTATGAAATTATGGTGGAAGGTTCAAAATAAACAAGGTGTTTGGGCTACTTTTGTATCCTCATTATCGAATTCAGCAAAGGATAAAACAAGTTGGGGCCGGATTAACAAGGTTGATATGCTGGCAAAGGAAAAATGTCAGATCCTCATTGAAGATGGTTCCTCCACTTTTTGGTTTGATCCGTGGATGAGTGCAATGCTCTTATGGAAAGAAGATACAAGCCCTCCAACGCAACATCTAACTGTGAAAGAATTTTTTTCTTCTAAGTCTATTTTCTTGTAGGAATTTCGAAGTATTCTAGGCCAAGATGTGAGGAATCAACTCTCGCCTATGACACTTCAATTTACGGATAAGAAGGATCAACTAATTTGGACGCCTACCGAATCAGAGAGTTTTTTGTTTCCTCAGCATTTTCAGAATTTAGAGAAAGAAAACCACAAATTTCAATGCTTGC